GTCTCGAATACGTAACTGTTCATCATGCACTCTATTACATCAAGAATATTGTAATTCATTTTCATTGATTTTTTTACATTTTGTTCCAAACACAGATAGTATAGATATGTGAACTATGACTTTGCCGCCCTAAAATATAGATAAATTATAGGTACGAGTAATTTGTTAATACCCTACTACTTGCCTTGAACCGACACTAATTCATGTTTCCGCACGTTATAAACTACTCTGTCCTGTTTGGTTCTATTTGCCCTCTAACCTACTCAAATTAACATAAATGTATGCAACAAACAAAAAGTGCCTAGGGTATCAACACGTATTTGAATTAATTTTCGAAATCTATCATGCATAATCGAAATTTGCTCAAAGCTGGAATATAAATTATATCTATCATTTGTAATTACCAGCACTAAACCTAATTAACAAACTCGTAGCGGTGCTGAAAGGAAGTATGGTTCAGGCGGCTGTGAACAAGAGCACAAGTATTAAAGAGAACCCGTCCTCAGCGTCATAAATGCTAAGATTATAAAAAATCGCCCCTTTAAGTTGAAAAGGAATTTATTTTTAGTGATGACATAATGCTTAAATTATAATTTCTAATCCGAAACAGTTAATTGTACGATTATTCGTTCAGGAGATAAAGGATAAGCTTATGATTTGATTTGCGAACTACAAACCGGCCAATTCTTCAGGATTTTATGAATTCACAATCATGGCAGCATTTTAAAGAATGGTGTCTAGTAGACTGGATATTTTCCTTTAATGCCACCGATTTTTTTCTTATTTCTGTAATCGTTGTTCCTACCTCATCGCAAATTCAGTTCTGAAACTTCCCTTTATTTTGGGATTTACTCGTATGCAGTTTATATTTTAGTGGTGAATTCGAGAAACACAAGTCTGCGTCCCCTGCTTCTCCCCCTAACACACATCGGTCTACATTTCTGTTTGTAGTTTAGGTGCGGAACAGAGCGTAACAAGATTGATCGCACAGAATTCAACTGGTCGGACATATGATGCGGCATAAGTAACAAGATCGGGCAAATAATGGCGGATATATTTCACTCCTACATCGATAAATCCAAACCTCCAACGTATTCCCCGGACAAATTCACCAGGGGGGTTCAACACTAATTGTGTTGATTGTTTTTGTATACAGACAATTGCGGATTAAATATTTTATAATCGTTGGTAAACATACAGTCTGACATGGATGAGCACTGCCAGCCAACTCTTCTCTGGTCTGTTTCATTTAGTTCACCACATCCCCCGTCATTCCTGAACAGCGTGTTCACTACTCATTACAACTGTGACATAAAGATTTAGTTTAGAATACATATTATGTATTTATAACATCTTTTCTATATTAATTACACAGCCGCATTCTTCATCAAAATAAAATTAATAACAATATTAATCTTTCTATGTAAGATTTGAAGTTTTCACGGAGGTGACTATGAAGAATGTCTTCTTATGGAATGTGGCGTCTGTAGAGATTTTATTAACCGACGTTTCGGAGGAACGTAGACTAGATTCTACAGACAACAGCTCAAGCTGGTTCATCACACGAGAATTTCTTATACCCTGAAGCTGGAGACGATAAGTTCCTCCGAAACGTCTGTTAATAAAATATCTACACGGCGCCACATCCCAGAAGAGGGCATTCTTCTTAATCTTTCTAGTCTCTAGTTCTGCAAAGAAAAGTTTACGAAACTGACTAGTTGCAGATCTCATATACATGAGTTCTAATTTTATAATACTTCGTTACGATGCATATCAAAGATATTGTTTATTGCTTGTGGCCACTGGATTTTAAACACAACTCTGTAATCTGATATACATACTTTATACCAAACAATTCCCGAGCTATTATACGTATAATTGACCATGAGCGTATTAAATGTGCATACGTATGTGGTACTAGCCACCATCACATTCCAGTATTCTCGTGAACGAAACCATTAGCGGTTAGAATTGATGCAACAACTGACTTGTTATTGTAGTGATAAACTATATTACATGAACTTCACATTAATCTTAAATTAGTTTAAGGCATATGTATTGTACATACTGACAGATTGTCTGGTAATAGTCAAGAAGATTTATAAAATGAAATAATCAGTATTATGAGTCATTTAGTAACATGGGAGGCTAAGTGTCTTTTATTTTGGAGCAGCAGACTTTGTAAATACTTTGGCATAGAGACCTGCTGCAAGGTAAAGACCGCGAAACAAACAATGAGACGAAGGCTATTCCTAAGCAACAGCTTCGTAAATACGCAACAGTATTGAAGCCGTTGCTAGGCAGCGGCCTCATGCATAAATGGAAGTACTGTTGCAAACGGTGTTTTCTATGTGGTCCGCTCCTAGTGTATATCACTCGACCGACCGAGTTCAGTTAAATTCAATTCACCTTGCTAAAACCCGTGTGGAGTCGGGGTCAAATACCTCCACAGCAGCCCTGCGAGTAGTAGGACGCGAAGAAAAAGGGAACCCAGTGTCTGGGGTTACAACTGGATACCCTGTCCTGTAACTGTTACAGGACTGCTGCGATGAAGCCGGCAGCTGAGGCACGGAGACAGTTCGGGAACACAGAAGAAGTGGAAAGTCAGCCTTTGGAATCCGTTACCAGACAACGACTGGTGAAGATACAGCTAACTGAGAAGACTTAGTACGTGCTGTACTGAATTGCAGAGAGAGTGAATTTGTGATAGCGCTATAGTTACTTGTAGTTACGATCTGTAAGGTAGGCCGCACACCGATCTGAGTCATGATGCTGACGTCAGCTTCATGCTGACGAATCACGAATGAAGCAAAACTGCGTGTTTTGTCTCTTGTCTTGATGCTTGTCTTGACGTAGTTGATGTGCGGCCGCCCTAAGATTTCAGTAAATCCAATTACCAATCCAAACTCCGTCTCTAGTTGCTGTATCACGTGACAATACATTAGTTTCAACTGTTCATCCTTTACTAAATTCGATACCTATACATTGTAGGTACAAATAGAGCTTATTTTTAAGGAAGGTAATGATGGATACAAGAGAAAGATCAGAAAAATATATAAATAAATCACATCAGTTTGCAACCAAATTAATGTGTAAAAGTAATTTTTTCAAGCGCTTAATTAAGAATCACGACAAAAAGAAGCATGGAGGAAAGGCGGTGTAGCCCCCGGCAAAGACTGAGAGAGATGAGATGGAACCCGGACCAGTCACAAATGTTGGACGCCAACCCCACTCCGGGAGCCATATGTATATATAATACGTTAAGAACTCAGATTACCTTTCACACGAATATCGACGAAAAACCAAGAAAAATAAGACAACGATTCATTTAAAAAGTACTTCCCTCATTATTGCTTACTTATTATTGTAAATGAATAGTATACTTGGCTCCCGCCCCTTTGGGCAGAGGCCTGGGCAAAATGGTCCTGCTGCCCCCCACCCATTTTATACGGGCCTGGCTTCCGGCATTCTTAACCTCGGCACTACACGAAGAAATTACATCAACCGAGCTGCTATATCCGTGACGAATGAGCCGCCGTACAGATTGGATAGGAGGCTGGGTGGGTCTCACATTCAGCCAGAACACTGGAGAAGAAAATAAACTGTTGCACGCACTTCTTCTTTACTGGCGCCACAACCATGTGTGGGTCTTGGGCTCCTCCATGGTCTGAGGTTTCATAATAGTACATTTTTCTATCGGGAATTTGTAGCCCCACGCTCAACCCCAAACCTGGAGGCTCAAGGGCTACACTTCTTCTGACTGATGTCCATTGATTTGTCGGGTGTGGCTCTATCAGAAGCTTACGCTCCCGCCAGCATAGTCATCCCGGTCAAGGAGTCATGCAAACCTCGCCTCCACGATAAAGCGGTAGTCCACGAGGAGGACTTTAGCCCGTAGAGGGAATCGAACCCCGATTCCTCAATAGTCCAGCTCTATCCAGTATTTTATGTCGAGTGATCTATTGACGAAATGTTTTATTGGTTCAGGTGCTTCTTCCCGACAAGATACAAACTGGTCAGCTGCAGCTGAGTTTTGACGTGGAAGAAGAGAGATTCCAGAACAAATATTCAAGAGCCTACCTATAGGTAGCACACTGTTATCTGCCTATGTGTTTATGTTATGTCCCTCTCCCGGCTTACACAGGTGGCAGCTCTGTCTGTGTTATTGTGCCATATCTAGGATGAATATGTAAATTGATTTACTGTCTTAACGTAGACGTGAAGGAAAGAGATAAAAATATAGAATGGTGATGGAAAATATAAAGGGGTTCATAAATGAAGACACAAAGATAAAATATTCCCCTTTTAATTTCAATAGACGTTTCCGCTGTTAAATTATATTACTGGCTCAAGTTATGAATAGTAAGATATATTGCATGAAACTACAGGCCTATACAATTTCTAAATTTTCCTTAAATATGAACTACACATTTAAAATATTCTGACGAGTATATTGTCTTGTTATCACATACAAATTATATAGCATGGCTCAATTCTGTTCATAAGTTAAGAACAAATACTTTCCACATTCCATCAATCGTAAATTCCGGTTCATATGGATAGGAGCCCACAATATCTGTAGTCTTTTGTTTGACTACGCTATAGGTGGAGGAAGGGACGTCCTCCAGGACGCTGAGGGGAAGAAAGGTAATGCCCTTGAAGGGAAAAATGAGTTGCTGCATATAACAATAAATAATGCTTTGAGCAAAAAGTATGCATTTAATAAAAAGGGAGATATTGAAATGACGCAAAAGTGTAACAGAATATGAAGGGTATATGCTTCACGAAGGGAGCAGTCATATGAGACAACCCTCTCTAGCCTGTTGGGAAACCAATGATTGAGCTTTTGAGTAATAAAGAAGTATGACATATGTTCTGACAAGCACAGATATCCAGTTTCTTTCTGTCATTCTAAAGCCGCATACTTACGACTTTTGCTGCGTAGTATATATGGCCTTTCTTTATTTTATGACAGTTCATCGACTGCAGATGGTACTCACCGAGCAGAGCTGTAGTTAGCAGGAGTACCAGTGATTGTATTACGGCCATCCTGTGGTTTCTATATGCACTGAGCCACCACAAGGCATCCCGGCAACAATCAACACTGTCACAACAATATCACGCCGCGAAGTCAGTCGAACGCACCCACACACTGAGAAGCATGCCACCCGCACAACACTTCACTATCGAGTGACTCGACGTCACGAGCGAATGCCGCGCCACCCCGCGGAATAAACTTTCATGCGCATGCGTCCATTGGTTTGTTTTGTAAAAGACATCGTTAACTGGTAGTTAATTAGAAAAGTTAAGAATTAGCGCATTTCGAGACAGTAACTGATTACCATCGTAAACTGTCGTTAAACTTTTCCGTCTTGTTGCGAAGTTATACACTTTGTGTTGACGTGCTAATAAAAGGCGCTCTGATAATGACGCTTCCAAGCTCAAGGTAACAACCGTGTATTTATGGCCGGTAGTTACCGGTTGGGTGTGATAATAAGAAATTTAAGAGCATCAGTTGGGTCCTGTTACATCCTGCTGTCAACATTATTCTTCAGCCATTACACGACAATGAATCCATTTCAGAAAAAGAATGAAAACTGAGACAGAATGAGGGGCAGAGAGAGAGATATAAAAATTAAATTTTGCTTTCAGATTACAATCCTGAGGAGGATTTAAAAAAGTCGAAATGCGGGAAATGGAATTATATAATTAGGGATTTTATAATTTTTTCTCTTCGGCTAATATATTATGTTTTACTTCGAACCTTATGGGAAGAAATCATTTTGGAGACCTAGACGTAACTTTGATCTTAAAGAATTGGATCGTGGTGGTAGAAACTAGACTAAACTGGCCTGTGGCATACCATGTTTTGGACCAGCTGAATCTAACGGGATTTTATAAACATAATAATAAAATATGCGTTTCTTGAAAGGAAGTAATTCCTTGATTAATTGCATAATTAACCGCTCAAAGAAGATTTGGACCCATGAAGTTGAGTTTATTTAGTATCAACTGCCCAGGTCATATGGGGATAAATCTATGTAAGAAATTATGTTACGAGGTCCGACAAGGTTACAATGGATAAATCTTAAGCAACCGCTTTACTAGGTAAGAAATTTGAGTAATTCTGTGTCGTAGAATTCTGTTGCGTAATGTTTACTTGTGTTTCAATCTTCTAGGCAAGTCTTATAGTCATGTTAAAAGTTTACAGATTTTACCCGGCCATTCATTCTCTGACTATATGCTCGTTAATACTACATAGTGTGTTTCGACCAACACGCAGCCATCAACAGGTAAGTCTTTATGATGATGTAAGTTCTTGTACTGTACTTTTTGCGGCACTTGTGAAAGATACTGAAATTTATAGTGAAAATGTGCTCGAGTGTTAGTTAAAAGTTAGAGTTAAAATAATATAAGTACCCTATCTACATATATTTCAGCAACCAACTCGTATGTATTATACCAAACCACAAGAAACCAAAATTAATATAGTATGCTATACATTTCCAACATGAACCGTCAACAGGAAAGGGCAATAAAAATACTAAGCTAATCAATCACTAAGACCAGAATAAAGTAGAGATCACATATTAATTTCAAATTCGGTACTACCGTATTTTTAGTATAAATTTTAATTCAATTGACACGTTTCGCGGTCAAGACAATGTATCATCTTATAAGAGCAAATTTGCATGACAATGAAGGCCATGAGATGAGCCCGAGCGGTGTTTTATGAGCTACATTAGTAAATTTAAATTATAATTACACTGACATATTCGAAATCTATTGAAAAGTGCCCTAACAGTAAAGTGCCCCAACATACAATATGTATGTATTACCGTTTTACAAGAAGAAAGACGAAACTGAATGTAGTAATTATAGTGGGATATCATTGCTATCAATTTTATAATTTTATTCAATATTCTTCTTCAATGTTAAGTCCATACATAGATGAAATTACTGGAGATCATCAGTGTGGGTTTCGATGTAAAAGATCAACTATTGATCAGATCTTTTGCATTCGTCAAATACTGGCTAAAACATGGGAGTACAAAGAGACAGTACATCAGCTATTCGTAGATTTCAAGAAAGTATATGATTCAGTTAGGAGGGAAATATTGTACAATATTCTGGTAGAATTTGGGTACCCATGGAATTAGTTAAGCTGATTAAAATGTGTTTAAAAGAAACGTACAGTAATTTTTCGCTTAGTGAGGGTTGCAGTCTAACTGGGTCCACTCGGCACGGCGGCCATTGATTTGCCTATTGTAGCCTACCCCGGGTGATTATGATTATGTAGAATTGGTGGAATGAAGATTGGCAGGGGAAACCGAAGTACTCGGAGAAAACCCGCCCCAGAGCCACTTTGTCCACCATAAATCCCATTTGACAAGACTCGGGATCAAACTCGGGCCGCCGCGGTGGGAATCCAGCGACTAACTGCTTGAGTTATGGCGCGGCCTAAACGTATAGTAAAGTCCGTATAGGTAAATATTTGTCTCCTAATTTTCCTATCCAGAAGGCTCTAAAAATACAAGGAGATTATTGAAGAAAGCAGTCTTCTGGGATTTGGCACCGTGTATATGTGGTGTTAACCGACGTTTCGGAGGAACGTCGGTTAACACCACATATACACGGTGCCAAATCCCAGAAGACTGCTTTCTTCATAGTCACCGCCGTGAAAGCCTCAAATCTTACAAGGAGATTATTTATTGCCATTGTTTTTCAACTTTGATTTAGAATATGCCATTAGAAAAGTTCAGGAAAACCAGGTGGGGCTGAAAATAAATGGGACACACCAGCTGTTGATCTATGCTGTTGATGTGAATCTACTGGGTGCTAACACAAATTCCATGCAGAAAACCCCACAACCTTTAATTCACTCTAGTAAGAAGACTGGTCTAGAAGTAAACACAAAGAAAACTAAATACAGGTTGCCTTATCATCACTTGAGTGCAGGGCAAAATCATGACATAAAGACAGAAAACAGATGCTTTGAAAATGTGGCACAGTTCAAATATTTGGGAACAACAGTAACAAATCATATTTGATTTAGGAAGAAATTAAAAGGAAAATGAACTCGGGTAAACTTTGCTATAATTCAGTCCAGAAACGTTTGTCCTCTCGTCTGCTGTTTAAAAACATAAACATTAGAATAAACAATTCCATTATTTTGCCTGTGGTTCTGCATGGCTGTGAAACTTGGTCTCTGACATAAAGGGAGGAACATAGACTGAGGGTGTTGAGGAGAATATTAGGATCGAAGAGAAATAAAGAAACAGGAATTGGAGAAAACTGCATAATGAGGAGCTTCATAACTTGTACTCTTCCCCAAGTATAATTAGAATGTTAAGGTAAAGGAGGATGTCATGGGCAGGGAGTGTAACACGAATGGGGTACAGAGCATTCCTTAGAGGATACTGGTAGGAAAGCCAGAAGGAAAGAGACCACAAGGAAGACCAAGACGTAAGTGGATGGATAATATTAAAGTGGATCTTAGAGAGACAGGATGGAGTGGTATGGATTGGATTGATCTCGCTCATTATAAGGAAGAGTGTAGGGCTCTTGTAAACATAATAAGGAACCTTCGGCTTCCATAGAATATTGGGAAGTTCTTGAATAGTTGCGTGAATGGAGTCTTGTCAAGTAGGGTTCAGTTCCATGAAGTTTTTTAGTTAATTATATAAGTACATATATATATGCTACATTTGGAGCATAGCTCTGTATGGGGCTGAAACATGGACACTTAGGGCAGTAGATCAGAAACATCTGGAAAGTTTCGAAATGTGGTGTTGGAGAAGATCAGTTAGACCGATTATGTGAGAAATGAAGAAGTGTTAATTAGAGTCAGTGAGCAGAGGAATATCCTACACGAAATAAGAAAACGGAAGGCTAATTGGATTGGTCATGTTTTACGCAGAAACTGCCTTCTAAAAGAAGCTATCGAAGGAAAGNCTGTCATTTGAAGGAGAAAGCTCTAGATCGCATTAAGTGGAGGAATTGTTTTGAAAGAGACTGTGGACCTGTCGTCTTGACAGATTACTGATGATGATATATATATATATATATATACTCGTATATATCTTAGGTTGATCAAAATACATTGTACAAGGTCAATGAGGACAGAGTGATAGGTAGAATGGTTAAATAAGAATCACAGACTCGAAATATCAGTGTTATGTGTTGCGTAGAACACAGTTAATGAAGTAATGAAATCTGAAGTTTCCATGGTGAACACGATCATAATCTTATTCAGACAATCTGCATTATGACACAAAATAGTCTATTAGGGATCTACCTTGAATATGGAAGCATTATTGTCCTCCGAAATGTTGCTTACCATCCACCAGGCCAGGTTGTGGCCCGAAACTGTTTCATCTGATACGTAAAAATGTAACTTAATTCACTGTCCTAATAGATAAACGGCCCTTCACGGTAGCCGAGCGGTCTAAGGCATGTACTGTCTTCGCTCGCTTGGAAACCGGGATCGTGGGTTCGAATCCCAAACAGGGCATGGATGTTTACTTTGTGTGTGTGCGTTTTTCTGTGTTTGTGTACAGGTAGAGGCCTTGCGACGAGCTGATCACCCGTCCAAGGACTCCTACCGAATGTGTTAAATCTAGAAAAACCGGAGTGACCGTAGAAGTTCATGGAGGTAGGCCTAGGCCCACTGTGGCTGTAGTGCCAAGGAAAAAAAATAGATGAAGATATAAATGAAAACTCGAACAATTGCCCAAATTATTGAAAGCCCGAATTATAGAAGTGCTACTGAAAATATAATCACGGAAGCTATAAAATGATCTTCATGTGTCTCTTTAAGCAATATGACTTCATTTTTAAGCTTAAACTGAAAATCATAAAATAAATTTACTTCTTGTAAAATATAACAATATAAATTTAACTTCAGCCTTAAATACATTTTAGATCGATTACAAACTTAGTATTACTGACACCATGTTTAAATATATACTTATTTTTGTTTGTGTTCCTCTTTTATACTGTTCTTTTACTACATCTTGCCTAATTTCCTTCAGAATTAAGTAATATTTTTTGTGTTGTGGGTTAGAGTCCACAAAACTGATGACGGAGTCCATGTTTTATTTCACTTCTAAAAAGGTTAATCAAATTTTCGCGAATTCAGAAACAGTGAAGTCCGAATTATTGGGGTTTCGCCA